GGAGGACAAAGCAATGAACCCTGTTCTGTGCTGCTTGGATCTCAATGTGCTTTGCGCGGTGGGCAAACTTCAATGTATTATGTGTTTCTTCTGAATTACTTGTTGAAGGAGTGACAGTGCAAATGAGCTGAACATTCCAACAGCAAAGATCAATGAGTGACACAAAAATTCTCATTGAAATTAGTGGATTTATATATTTCTTTTTCAAGTGGCAACCTTTAAATTACATGCTTTATACTATCCAGTTATCGACATATAGTGAGAAAGTCTGTGGCAAAAAGATGGATGAAAGAAAAATCTAACAAAGCTTACAGATACACGCCCATGACCACTCAGAGAAGATTGAAGGAGCCTTGTCAATTTTGAATCCCTATAAGGTATATGAGTTGCCCTCCCATCTGTTAACTTTGATATAACCTATAATAATAACAAATTTTTAACTAAAAACATAAAACAAGTTGTAAGAAAAATATTGAAATCTAAATCAGGATTAAAAATACACAATTGACCATCACATGCAGGCTGCAGCAAGGTGGTAGATTGACATCAAAGCACAAGATGATAATGATACTTCAAAGAAGACCAGATAATTTCTTATGACTATTCAGAAGGAAAACCATGGAACCACCAATAGCAGAGCATGAACCTATGCACCTTAGGTGGTAGATTGACATCAAAGCACAAGATGATAATGATACTTCAAAGAAGACCAGATAATTTCTTATGACTATTCAGAAGGAAAACCATGGAACCACCAATAGCAGAGCATGAACCTATGCACCTTAGGTGAGGAGAAGAGACAGCAATAGAGAACACAAAATAATATAGTTTTGTTTGGTGAGGAGAAGAGACACAAATAGAGAACACAAAATAATATAGTTTTGTTTGCCACACTAAATCACTTGGGTTTATTTGCCAAAAAGTGTCAAACAAAAGAGACAACCTAAGAAGTTGCCTTAAGCTAGGAAAAAGCATGCGAGCATACCTTTTTTATCAGTATTTAGATATGCATACTGATCAACTTAAACTGAAGTTACCTTTCCTCTATATGAAAGGGTTGAAGGAAGGGTTAGATCCCCTAATTTAGTTCGACCATTTAAAATTAAACTGTCCCCATCATATAGTAAATGGAAAATTTGGGAAAGCAGAGAACAATATATTTTCTTATTTGCAGTAAATTTTGTAAAATGAAATAACAACAAAAAAATGTGCTGATATTAGATCATTTTGAAGATCACCAAGTATAAATATTAAACCAAAAAGAAGCCCGGGAGGAGGCTATCAAACAAACTTCTAACACTAGCATAGTTTTGATAACAAGAGTAAGAATGTCTCACAGTTCCAAGTGTCAGCAAGCTTTTATTAATGTAGGATCCTTCTTTCCTTCTCATACCAGTAGTTTCTGCCTTTGAGCTCTCAGAACCTGCCAGATCGATGAGGTTCTGCATGCATAAACAAAATATGAAAAAGTTAAAAGAAATAAAAAATTAAATGTTGAAAAGACTGCTATGTCAACAAGGAGAATGTTCCAAATCAATGGATTGAGCACCAACTAAAAAAATTATACCAGGACCAAGATCACCTAATTGTGAGAAAAAGAGAAAGTTCATACCAGGATTAAAGTTACATAACTTACCAGCTGGGAGAGATGTACTGCTTCTCCTGCAATGTTTTCACCACATGGACTGCTTTCTATCGTCTGAAACAAAGTAGTAGGGAACTTGGAAAAAAAAAAACACCCCAATTTGAAATGGCAGTATACATGCATCTTCATCATGAATCACAAAACAATACTTCAAAAAGAAAGATAAGTCTAATTCCTTAATTTTTCAAGATCAGAAGTAATTCAAAAATCATACAAGATGACTTGCCCATGCAACATAGTAAGTGCTATTAACAGCATGTGGAAGAAAAATAGAATGGTTGTGCAAGAACATGTTTGCACAATTTTAATGGAGAAGGAAAACATATTTGATCCAAAAATCACAAAAACTAAATTCCCCTTTTAAAATAAATTTAAATTTAAGAAATAATTTAACTATCATTTCTGTGAAAAAAAAATAATAAGAATATTTGGAAGGCACTAAGGAGTGCCACCAGGGAAAAAGAGAGGATTTACAATTTTGTTCAAATATCTATAAGGTTCCCAAGGTCCTCATGGTACATAAGAGGATGACCCTTAAAAAAAATGTCTATGTCCCCATATGTGCATGTAAAACCAGCACTGGAAAGAGGACAGCAAGAGAAAAAAAAATAGCTCTCTTGTACTTCCTCAATGCTAAGCATAACCATACCAGAGTAAAAATTGTGTGGCTCCGGCTACTGAGCAAATTGAAGTTCGTTGACCCAACATGTCTGTGCTCTGTTGTCAATGGCAAATAGATTAGGACTTATAATCTCATGTATAGTTAAAGAAGATCAAGGTAAAGGTGGAAAACCATATGGACAGGACACTGTAGTGTCAGTAGAGGCAATGATGAACAGAATTCAAGTCTCTAAACGTATTAAATAATTACTCAGGCAACCAAATATAAAATTATCTAATTCATTTATTTTACATGTTCCCTCACAAGCAAACAAGATAGATAGCTTAGCATGTGGCACAAATCCATATGGGTGAAAAAATAACATGAAGTAACTGGACTTGCGAAATGGCTTAATTGCAGACAAGAAATTGGGTAAAATCACTAGCTTATTGACCATTTATTCCAAAAAGATTAAACTGCGAGAAAACTGAACATCATCACCAATGCTCTAACAAGAACAACTCTACCACGAGAAAAGAAACACACCATTTGTAATCTGTGTTTTCTTTTCACGAGATCAGTTATCCATGACTTAAAAACACTTTGTATTTTGCTTGAAGGACACCATTCATGATGGTGCTAATATTTTGGATCTTTATAACCTACTCATCATTAGAGGACTGTTAATTCTATATTTTCTTCTTTGCTTTTATATTCTGGTTCGCAGCCCCTTGTACCTATAATAGTTATTTTTTTCCTCTAAAAAAGAAAAAAACATTCGCTTTTGCTCACCTTCGGTTTTGATGGCATAAGAAAGCTAAAATTTGGATTTGAAGTATCAAAAGGGTTTCCACATATAGTATAATCTGGATCTACTGCTTCCGAGATACAGAAAAACAGGAAAAGACAGTATACCTTCTCCAGCAGCTATAAGAGAGAGCGCATGAGCAGGAGATAAGACAACTTCTTCTTTTATTCCTTCAACAAAGGTTCCCTAAAACCATCAATATGCATTAAACCAGGAGTATATTTCAAGCATTTCAGCGTATATATATATATATATTTATATATATATAATGTCATACCATCAAAGACAGACAATATTCAACAATAGAATCTTGAATGCCCAGAGCTTAAGCCACAAATAGAAGCTATGACGTTTTCAAAGTTGTAACAAAATCTAAATATAACTTTTGGTATCTCCCAGGAAGATGAAACAGCAGGAGCATTGCACAAAAAATTATCACCAATGAATGTTCACCTTTCGTTAAGTATTACTTTCCCATAGTAGAAAGCCAATCTTCCAAAAGTTCATTGGTGAATAATCCTAATATTTAGTTCCTATTTCCAATGCTAAAAATAAACTGGTGAAAACTGAAACATAATTGTAATTTTGGATTAAGCTTCACGGAAGCTAGCCTATGAACAAATATCATCAGTGTGTTTTCAATATTTATAATACAAAAGTATCTCGCTTAGAACTGACTTGCTTAATTGTTCTAGGAAATATTCTTTTGAAGAATTAACTCTTTTTGAGAGGAACATTCTAGGAAAGATCCAGATTTACACCAAATTACATTCAACTTCCTTCATGCTGTTCTTGCATTCTAGCAAAACATAGCTTCTTAACAACCCAGAATTATTACCTTAAATCAGAAAATCAGTTTACTTCCATATTACACACTGCTAACATCCAGCATATTAAGGCAGACCAAGCCACCCGGATGCTTTTGAGGACCCATTTTCTGCCTAATGCAAGACATCTTAATCATATCTCCAAGATTTTGTCATGAAAAGAATCTAGTAGACATCACCAAGCCCAAAGCAAATGCACTAAATATATGAGACAAGCCTGAGCCTCATAATCTAAATGCTCAAGTATACATTCAACTAGTGCCAGCATGCAAACTCCAAGCACTTTGTGACATCTATCCTTGAAATTCTCACCAGGTTAATCTGGATATCTCTACTAAAAGATCACCAATAACCAGATTCAACTCATGCCCAATGTCTGCTTACAAACTGCTGCTTAGGATGCCATATAATAGAATAATTTGGAAAGAAAAGGCAATGATAATAAGAAATGATAGAGGCGATTTAAAAATAGCATAGACCATTGGCAGATGTAGAGTAAGTATCATTGTGGATAGAAAAAACCAAATAAGGATCAGAAAATGAAACGAGCTACCTGAGAATCCTCTCTAATCCGTAAGTTCTGTCCAGCTGGGTTCAACAAGTCATTGACAACCTGAAATTAAGAAAACTCAGAAAGGACAATCTACCAGAGGAAATGCAAAAGCAGCAATGCAGCTAGTTTTCATTGAGCATCATATATGGCAAAAAGGACTTGAGGATAGTATGCAGCATTCCGAGGGAAAAATAAAAAGGAAAAAGGGGAGAATCTCACCTCATTGTAAATCTCCAAGTATGAAACTCGTAGAAGANNNNTAAGCCAGATGATAGCAAAACAGGTGTCATGTTGTAGAATGTGTAAGTTACGTAGCAGTTGCATCAACACTTTATGTTGATACTTTAATTAACTTGTAAATTTTGTACATGGGTGGCACACCCTGGTGCCTATATTAATACAATTCACACTTTATGTTTAAAAAAAAAAACATAGCAGTTGCATCAACAGCTGAGAAATGCATAACATAAGCCAACTCTCAGATTCTCAGAGCAATGATATACGGCTCATTAAGTTCTAAAAAGATAAATAGCATGGAGGAGAATCACTAAAACAAACAGAACTCTCTTCTTTTTTCTATAGGTAAGAATTATAGCATTAACGTGTGGTACAAACCAATGGCAACTAGGTCTACAAAGTCCTCGTCGTTACTGACAACAAATTTATTCATTCTTAAGTGACTAGCAGTTTATATGTACGTGTTGTACCACTTTTGCAAGGACGCTTTGTATAGTAGCCAGATCATTTTGTAGTTAATAAACTTCCTCATTGGAAAATTACAAGGATGCCAAATATACTAAAAAGATGTTCAGAAATCAATTTTTCACACCAATCTTACATGGAAATTCTTCTATATCTTTTCTTTCCAAGAAAAACAAATAAGTACCTTATCAAGAAGCATACTGTTGCAAGACACATTCAAAAGAAAATATTCTTTTTTAAGAAAAGAACATCGTATTTGAGCAAAAGAGAATCCAAAGAGGGAGGATATAAAATCAAGTGGAAAGCAAAAAACCACACCCCAGAAAAAGGAAAAGGAAACCAGTGCAGATGAGAAGCCCAAGGAAAACAGACCCCAAATAAGGAATTGTGACTGGATATGCTGTTGGAAATTACAGGAGAAAACTATATTCTGAATAATATAGTGAGGTAGAAATATAGAATAATACAAGCATATTTTTTAGATCTTACATGCATTGTATGAGTCTTCCCACTGCTTGTAACTCCATAAGCAAAAATGGTGCCTGTGAGTGTAAAGAAACAAAAAGAGTTATAGCAGTAAGCAATTCCATTGCTGAAAAACGGCAGTAGTCTAACATATTTTTTTTCTTTTTTTTCACCATGTTGGTATAACTCATAACTTTTCCTAACTCGGAATTACCTAACCAAGAGAGATGTGATTTTCCTATTCACGAATCATAATCAGATAGGTCCTTAAAAAGTCTTCATAACCATCAACCCACTGTTCATAAGAAATAACTTTATTTGACAGCAAAGCCACCCACATATACATACTTTACAGGGAAAAAATCTATGACCTCTATGAAGATCTGTTGGTCAAAACAAAAATATTCTTTTAACAAAAACTGCTTCTTAAGTCTTTTCAAATAAATATTACTCTTCTCTATCAAATTTAACCAATAGAATTATTCATATAGAGCCTTCAAGATCTAAAATAATCCCAGTGCATGATTTCTTTAGCATGGCTTTTTTCTCTATTCCTCTGCACAAAGTTTTCTCGGTCTGGCTGACACAAACAAAATTGCTACTTAAAACTTGATTCATCCTCCAAACTTTCCTTGTAGCCTTCTATTAACTCCCAATCCTGTTCTAGTCTTTTATTGATCACAAACGTGAAAAAAGAAACATGATGTTGCCAGAATTTTTATTAAGCAATCTTTTGCTTCAATAAAAAAAATACCTACCCGGTGGTAGTTAAGTTTGTTGGTCTAGATATTCTGTCAACATATCATAATTGGTCAAAACCCAAGAATTCAAAACTTGTTAATCTTCATTCTTTTTCATTCTTCTCACCTTTGTATTTTTAAGTAGGAAAAGGATGATTACAATTCAAACTACATTTCAATTACGGAAGAGAAAAATAGCAGAAGATCCGAGCAAGAAATTTTGGTAGCAAAGTCATACTTACTAAACAGAAAGATATGTACTGCTTACCATTGACGCCTTCCATAGCACCATTAACAACATGCTGAGCAGCAACATCATAGACATGGCGTGTTGTTGTTGTAGGGCCAAACACTCGATCTAGATGCATGGGAAAAAAACAAGTAATGACTGAGATTGTGGGTATTAATATAAATTAACAATAACTATGTTTTCTTATTTGGTAACTCAACAAATATGATTAAGTACGCAGCAATAGATGTGAGAACAAGTTCTTTTTCCTTTTTTAAACTATATGATATTTTGCACAGGAATGATAAAGCACGACCAGTCAACGCTGCAACATGTATTTAAAATCAATTCTAATACGAGAAACTACAATACGTTGCTGCAAAAATGGAAAAACTAGTAAACATCTCCAGATACTGTGAAGATAAGAATCTAGATAGTCTTGGAAGAATGGGAGATAAGATAAGCAGGAAAGCTAGAAAGTAACAGATTAATTCTAGCAGGTTTACATACTGATTGTACATCAATTTTATGGATAAATTACGTTTTATCCCCATAAGCAATTAAGAAAGAGAGAAGCATTGAGATTAATGCATGAGCAAACAGAGAAAATCAGAACTCTCAAAACCAAGATAAGTTCAGGATAAATGCTAAAATGATCCAGAAGGGAACAAATACACTACAAAATTGGGTATCAAATATTCCCGGCTGTTGCCTCAACCTCACTGTAATTTTCCTCATGGTTAATCTATTGCAGTCTATCCACGTATGGCTCCCATATAGAGAACCGGCAAAACTTCACAGTTCCCGA